ACAATAATGTCATTAAAATCTAGTTTTATCATCTTGTCTTTGAACTTGACAGTAGTTTATTTTCTACATAAAGATATAAAAGTGAATGATTACCTAGACTATGATGGCATGAAACAACACACAAAACACCACTACAAATGAGAATAAAATTTAAAAAAGCTTTTCTAAACCTGAGCCTGCATTATAACATTTTAGTATCTACACCTATTGAAATGTTAACTTAAAACTATGTTCTAAAACTAGGATCAGTACCATTTTGGCATTCTCATACTTAGCCTGATTTGCAAAACCGCTGGTCCCTTGGAAGTCTCACCTAAGTTTTACAACACTGCATCTCCATCTAAGCAGCGTATGAACTATCACATGAAAGGAGAGAGAGCACTCTTTCAATAAAATATGCAAAACTAACAAACACATTTTACTTGCACAAGATGCAATCTGTGTGCTACTTCAATATATTCTCCACTGGAACCTTTGAAACACATAACTTGAGCAGACACTGTGATTTACCACAGTTCTTAACAAATATTTTAATTAAAAAAAATAAAGATAAGAAAGTGCTGTAAGTCAGGCATATTACAAAATATATACTTTGTACAACAAAATTGTCTTCAAAAGTTTACAGATTATCTTATTAAAATTTATAACAACCAGCAGTGCTTAAAATCTTTCCTGTTTCATTAATACCACATTAAGATTTGTAAGACGAAACAAAACCAATCTCAGATTCTCCTAGCAAGTATATGAAACCTTGACAAGGTTTCTTTTAAATAACTTTTTTGTGTACCTTAAAGGTAACAACAGTTTTGCCTTTGAACACAACTACAGCAGGCAGGTTTTTTTGTACTATGAAGGTCACGAGCAGAATTCTGGATTCTCGAAGAGATTAGTTTAACTTTTGTGGGCATGATTCTTTGGTAAGTAAGAAAATGTGAACGCTGATGTAGTTAGAAATATTCATCTCGCATCATTCAAAAGCCTACTACAATTAATATTTTTAAATAATCCAGAATTTGGAAGAATAAGAAGTACTTTTGTCCTTAATCCACATTCCATATATGCTGAAACGTGTTCCCCCCCCCACCGAGATGCCTTAGGTTTCATTCTTAGCAATAAATCAAAAATACTATTTGCACAGTGGAAACATTTAAACACTGTACCTGTTCCAAAACCACTGTCCAACAAAATTTGCTTTTGAGAGATTCACAAATGCTCGTTTGTATGGAAGTCACAAGGCCAATAACACAGATAGACTTCTTTAGGATCTCTCCAAATGTCCGAATTGGGTTTCATTTTGTATCTTTGCCAATCTACACCCCCTCCATTCAATTTTGTTAGAATGTTACACAAAACAGCAAAATACTTTCATTAAACTTTCATTTACATTAATTTATTTAGAACAATGCCATGATTCTACAATTACATACACCACTCCTTAACTAAGTCCCACAAATAGTCCTTACTAAAATTAGTATTAGCATGCATGCAAAATTAAGACTGTCCTTAAATGAAACTAAGATCACGACTATAGAGACACTACAGTCTCCAGTGTGACACCAATTTCTGTATTTCTGTTGCTTTCCAACAGAACATTAACAGTTGTGCGTGCTGAAACTGTACCAAAGATATGAGGTAATGCAACTCATAAAAGTAATCTGAATTTTAGTGCAAAGAGAAACTTTCCCTAGATATAGTCTAAAAAGCCAGTATTATTTCCCCTCTGAAATTTCCCAGACGGCAAAAAAGCTCACTCAAAAGGCTAAGTGACAGTTAAGCAGATTTTTCCTTCCGATATGAAAAGCCTGAAGATACACAAACAGTTTTAGAACTACAGTCTGTATTATTGCATTTGTAACACAATATTTGTAAATCAAAAACGTCTCTTGAAAAAAAGAAATTTAGTTTTTAAATAACCTACCCTCTTTCAAGAAGCTTTTATTAGTTTACGGGGCATATTTAATTTTTTATGAATATATTTGAACATACCAACATCAATGGAGTCAAGAAATAAAAGTAGAATTTCCTTTGTAATATTGTCTTCTTAAAACAATCATAGATCTGTTTTTACAAATGGAGAAACTGAGTCAAAGGCAAACTGACTCACTAAAACTCATACAGGAACACTCTGGAAGATCTCAAAATTCCCAAGAAGTTCTTAGTATACAAAATTTGCAATCTATATTATAAGTTGTAAAATCTGAGTAAGAGTATTTCAGTCTTTGGGTTTACCTCATTCCCCCTCACCCCAGAATGCTTTTTGTACAGTATACAAAATTATTCTCTTTTAATCTTGAATTAGATGTCTGCTTGAGAACATGACTGAGGGTGTGAAGTTACAGACTGCAGAGTTGTGTAATCCTCTAAGTCATAATTTTAAAAAAATTATTCACAAGAATAAAAGTTTTCAATCTAGGGAAATGAAAGAAAAAGGCAAAAGGTTTCCAAAAAGTCCCATACATACACTCTTTAGAATCTTCTTCTTGTACTTTTTAATAAACAGAGTAAGACATGGTTTATTGAAAAAAATCAAATCTATATAAATAAGGAAGGTATGATGGCAGAATGCATTACTGGACTACTAACGTATCACTCAGTGGTTCAAATTACTCAGCCTTTGGCCTCAAAACACACAAAAGGCATGCATTAACAACAGTCAAAGTCTTACTATCTTATTGTTCAACTTCAGGTATACCTTAAATCACACAGCAGTACTTCTAAATGGTATCTAAATTAAAATTCTTCAGAGCTTGAAGAAAGTTTTGCCATTTCAATACCTCATTTTTGATTGTTTAAATCCAGAAGGTTCCAAAGCTATACTAGAATAGGAATTCATACCTCACTAAACCAAGGACAAGATTAAAGACAGGCATACAAAAAAAAAAAAAAAGAAAAATTAATCTCGTTTTTTTGTTGCTTAAAATGTACAGTTTGCAGCCTCCATAGTTTGTATCAGAGTACACTACACCAACTACCAAATAATAAATCCTTGTGACCTCCCTTCCCCCCACTCAAACATATTTATAGTGGTGATACTAAAAGGTTCATATTTCCTTTAGGAAAAAAATTACAGGTTAGGAACTCTACTTTCCCTCAGTATTTTTATGTATACTATCACATATACAATTTATACAGCAATATACAAAATAAATTGAAGAAAAAATTGTAATACCAAGATTACATGGCGGCAGAAGAAATTCCACGTCTTAATAAAGTAAGAAGTTATAATCTTGCATGCATTATTTCCATATATTAAGTCTTTTTAGTATTCTCAAACTACAAATAGAGGGAATTACTACTCTTATGTCCAGCAAAGATATTTCCTGGAAGGTGAACATGACGTTCACAAGTGTGAGTCCACAAAGAATTTAGCTGACTCTTTTAGCAATCTGAATCCATTACTTATTTCGATAAATACTACTGCTTCTATGTCGTTAATAGGATGGACAGATGTACAGTATCCATCACAAACACGAGAGCTCTTCCAAATTATTAAACCGACACACATACTGCCTTACAACAACCTATACACACCCCTCAAAGAAGCTGCATGAGTCTGTTGCCTCTTTCCACCCCCCTTTTCCCCGACAAGAGTGGTCTCGTTCACTTGCCTTTCACACACATAACCAATAAAATTAATCAGCTGGAACACAGCATTTTTAAATCGCAGTAAAGTCAAGTGATGTTTTGTACGTTATTTGAAGGGAACAGCCTTTTCATTTAAACATATAAGACTCTAATATGCTGCAGACAAACGCACTGCATGGGGTGTGGAGGACCCGAGCTGATTAGATTACCACAACATCAGCCTGAGGCCGCCATTTTTAGAATCTCTAAAGGACAAAAGAGGGAAATTAAAAAATTTGCTCCACATTTTTTGAAAAGTAACTTTAAAAGTATAGTGATTGTAATCAATTAATCATGCATTATAAGTACAGCCATGGATATATCTTTCTTTTCTCTGATCTGAGCCCTGGGTAACAAAAACGTTTCGTTATTATTATTTTAAGGTTCTGTAAATAAACAGATTAAAACATTCCTAAATCTAGATGCAGCACTGAACTTCTGCTTTTAACGACACGTAGTATGTACCATTTTAGGGACCTCAGGGCTTTCAGCCACCGCACATTCCCTAATGGCTGAGTATGGGGGAATACAGGACCTTCATAATCAGGCTATATTATGTTTCTCTACCCTATTTAGTACTACACAGTGAACCGTTTGTTTCTCCTCCCCTATGTCTGCAGCAATAGTCTACCTCACCAATATTTATTTCTTTAAGAAAGAGATTGAGATATGCCACCCAAGGAACACGAACACTGGCTGCAGAAACTAAAGCAAGAAAGGGATGCACCAATATACTACTTACACCCTCAAGAAAGGGGGTGGAGAGAATGATCCCCTTTTAAATTGGCACAGAAACTCTTGAGGACTGCTTTCCGTTTGTCCAGGTTACACCACGAAGCGGAGATATTAGCAGGGAGGGAGGAAAGGAGGCGGGGGTGTGGAAGGCAGAGAGATTAGGCCTATAACGAGCCATTTTAGTACCACAAAGCAAAAATATACAGGATGGAGGAAGAGAATAGGTTTCCCTAAGCTTCATAAAACTCAACACGCAGTCCCAATAACACACAAACCCGTTCTGAAAAGCACCAGTCTAAGGACGCGTATGTTGTCACATAATAGCCTCTCTGGCTCTTTTTCCGAGCATAATGCATAAATCTGGCGTAACTGCCAAAAAATTCTCCTCAGCTCCTCCAGTTACAGTAACCCGCCATATTCACAAGATATAGCGACAGCCTGCCATTTTTTAACCAAACCTCACAAAAGGAAAAACAAATTCAAGGCAACTGAAACAGAATTTAAACACATTTCACGGTGGGAATGAGTTATACTCGCACCGAGGATACCGAGACGCTCCCGTCGCATTTCACTCCCTTTTTCCCACCCCCCCTCTCCAAAGCACCCAGAGCAGAATACACTGGTAATAACCAAAGACTCACCTGTAATTGTCACAGGCCAGGCAGCAGAACCCCTCAGCTGAGCCCCTTCTCTATCCCAACCAAAACAATGCAACAGCCCCACTGCGGATATCCCTACCCTAGGCAGGACTCAACCCTCAGCAGGCTCTGGTAAAAGAAAGAAAAGGGCAAGAAAGGAAAGAGGAGACCCCCCCCCTCCCCCCAAGCCTAGCTCAGTGCGCAGAACCCTACAGGGACCAGCTCGGAAGCGCCTTTGCCTTGGGACCTGTGTACAAACCCCACTGCCGCCGCTGCTCCCGTGTCTCCCTCCTTTCAGCCTCCTACGCTCCCTTCTATGTCACTGCCTCTCTCTGGGAAAATGGCGTCCACTCTCCCCTCCCTCCGACTGCACGGGGCTCACCCGCCCCGCCTGGCAGGGGCAGGGTTACCAATGCGAAGCCAAACAGCCGCCATTTTGCTTGTGGGCTGGGAGCGCAGTCTGCGCCCGCGGAGCCCTCAGTGTCCATTTTGCAACAGCACTTTGCACGTTAACGCTGAAGCGCTCGGATCTGGGCGCGGCCGAGACACCAGACTGCGGCAGGGGCTG